TTGCTAGAGACGTTAAAGACTAGCATTTCTTGCGTCGTCTAGATATGTTTTGGAATTCATACATATGGCTAGGAATTTTGATTGAGTACGCATGCAGTTTCATTATGAAAATAGGCATTTTGTTCCTATTCAATCGATCTCATATAAGGTTTAATCGATCGAACACCCACCCCTGCATCTAATCATTGCTCTGTTCCATCGATCTGAAATTTCCTGCATAAATCAGCCCTTTGTGTATCGTTCGAGAATTCCTTTGGATCGATCTGAAAGTTCCTAGACTGATCCAACTTTTTCTTGGATCGATCTTCACTCTACACTTAGAAAATTTTTGAGATCCATGAAAAAAAAGGCCTCTCTGTGCATCGTTCGAACTTTTCTGCAGGTTTTCACCTATTCGATCGATCGAAGTACCCTTCTCAATCGATCTCAGCTTGATCGATCTCTACTCTTTTGTTGACTTTGATTTTGACTGTACTTTTATTTTTATTTTAAGTTTATTTTATTTTATTTTCAAAAACCTCAAAAAGATTTTTATTTTATTTTACTTTCTACTTTTATTTTCATTTTAAAATTTTCAAAATCCAAAAATATATAGATTTTCTTTATTTAAAAATATTTTCAAATATATATATATATATATATATATATATATATAATATATTTTGTCGTTTAGTGATTAGAGATCGATCTAAAGCATTTTTCAGATCGATCTATTTTCGATCGATCGGAAATTGTCCCTGATTGATCGAATTGGTCGGAAAATATTTTTAAAAACAAAACCCTAGGGTCATTAGATTGATTTAAAGATCGATCTAAAGACCTTCTCAGCCCTCGCCGCTGCAAATCATTTATCTCCTATCTCCGGCAACCATCCCAAGCTTCCACATCATCTCCCTCATCTCAGATCTCATCCATCTCTCGATTTCCACCTCTCTCTCTCTTGGATTTGGTAAGTCCTGTAATACCCCTAATTTTAAAAAGGATATAATGGAAATTTAATTAATTATTTATGTGCATTTTAAATTGATAAATTGATTATTTGTTTTGTGTGCATTTAAATATGATTTATCTGGCTAAGTGGTTAATTGTTTTACTTGTTTAAAATTGGTATTGTGTATTTGTTTTATGTTGATTATTTATTTTAACTTAATTACGTGCAATTGGGATTTATTTTATTTATTTGATTAATTGGTATTTTTTTATTATTACGTGTTTTTAAATGGTTTGTGTGACTTATTTGATTTAAGTTATATGGTTGTAGTTATATTTACGTTTAGGGTTTTGGTGTTAAGTATTTTGGTTGGCCGACTTATACTTGGGCTGGAATTAGGATTAGGGTTTTTTTGCATGAGTCTATATATATAGAAAAATATTTGTCTGCAAGACACCCTTTTCACGTAATAATCTGGAGAGGTAAACAGAGGGAAACTAGAGAAGAGAGAAACAGAGAGGTTTGAGGGGAAAAACACAGAGGGACACAGAGAGAATCAATTAAGCTTTCATCTATGGACTAAAGGTGTACCATAGAGGAAGGAAGAGGTTGATGCTGAGATAGAACTGGAGCAGTAGGAGAGTTGCCGGTAGTCTACAGTTCGTCGGACTAGTTAGCAACGGCGTTGAAAGGTTTCAAACCGAAACCTAAAGGTAAGTTTCATTCTATCTCCTTCCTATAAACTTGTGTTCTGTACATTCTCTATAGTCTCCAGGAATCTAATTTAATTATTAAAACGGATGTTTATGCGTGATAGAGTCTCTGTACAATTTTAAACCGCTTTTGAAACTACGAACTGTTGTGTTTTTGTTTTAAATTTTTGTCATTAATTTCACAAGAGAATTTGAGGAGTTTCTAGGATTTAATGAACTTGAATTGAACCCTAGGAATGTAAGAAAAATTCTAGAACGGAGGGTTGAACTTCGCCGAACGCGAAGAAGATAAACGGAGAAAACATAAACTGTTGCGTTCATGGTTTAAGCTTTTGCTAGGTAATTCATGCTGGAATTAAAGAAGTTTCTAGGCTTGTTAGGACTTAATCTGAACCTTAGAAATCTTTAACAAAAGGTGGGACAGAGGGCGGAGGCTTTGCCGGACACGAAGAAGGCAACACAGAGGAAGCAGAGAAGGAAAAACGGAGGCTGGGGAAGTGGAGGCGGCTCCATTGAAGTGGAGCCGGCTCCACAAAGAGTTGAGGCGGCTCAACTTAAAATTGGAGCCGGCTCAACTTAAAATTGGAGGGGGCTCCAATTTTATAAAGTGCCCAGTACGTGAATTTTGTGATTTCAGGGCTCCAGGGTGTGTTTAAACTTGGTTTAATGGATTTGAATGATGTAATTAAATAGGATTATACCCAAGAATGATTAATTCTACCCATGAATAATTAATTCATGTTAGGAACTTGATCAACTTGGGATTTAAAATTAAATTCACATGCGGTTTACGGCTTGGAAGAAATTAAATTGCTTGTCGTGATGTTTAAACAAATTTAATGGAGAGGTTTTAAAATGATGTATTTAATTTATTAAAAGACCTAGAATTATTGGTTGAGGCTATGGGAGTGGATATCATGACTTTTAATTATTAATTAAGCATGCAGTTAAGGAGGGTGGAAGGGTTAATTTCTAGCGTGGTACTAGTAAATTAAACGGACTAAAATAAAAGTTGTTTTTGTAAGGTTATATAAATGAAATATATAATGTATGGGTCCCAGGAATGTTGGTTTCTACTACAGTTATAGACATCATGAAATTTAGATACTAAATTATATGCTGTCAGGAGCTGTGGAAGTTGTAATTGCTAGTCTTGCTTTAGAAAACTAAATGGACTAGCATGGAGGTGGTTTTGGCATTCAAATAAAATGTGTTCAGTTTTTATATCTGAGTATCATTAGATCATGCTTGGGATTTATAGTTGGGGATTAAATAGTCGCCATGAGAATTAAATATTAATTTACATGCCGACAAGGATTGAGGAGGATTTATATGCTAGTCTTCGTTTTAATAATGTAAATGAACTAGTATGGATGTATTGGTTGGGAATTCTAGTATAATGTGCAGTTATAATTCTGTTATTCATTATATTATGTTATGGATGATAATTGTCGAACTGTCATAATTTCTGTTTTGTCAATTATATGGAAATTGATGGCTTAAATTGTTTATCGGTACTTTAACAATTTAAAAGGAGGATCTATGATTATAATCATATACTGGATGCATAATAGGATCTTAATAATACCTGTTTTCTATTATGCTGGTTTCTGGATTTATTTGATGTTCTAATGAATGTGCATCATTTGTGGATCATTTGCATGATATGTACCGGTATGGGACGGTGACATATCAGGGATGGATTAGATCAAAAAGCTAAGTCCTACCCCTTTCATACATACGGAATGGATTAACTAAAATAGTTAAATCCTACATGGATGCATGTCCTGTCAACTAAAACAGTTGAACGACATAACGGATGGTTGTTTTATCTTTCTGCGTCAGGAAGGAATTTATATATATATTTATGGTACTGTGATACGAGCTTGAGTCTCCTGATCATGGTTAGGGTGCGTATATCGCAAAGGTTGAGTAGCTAGATATAGCAAATGTTCCCTGGTAGGTCTAGGTACTTGGCCGCTGAAAAGCGTATTTTATAGGTCACCTTCTACCCAGGCTGAACTATGTTATAGGCTAGTGAGTATCCTATAGTGTGTATTTATATATCTATGGGCTATTGTAGATATTGCCGAGCTATCTAGGATGTATCTGCGTATCGGGTTTATGTACGGATTGTAGTAGGATGTAACTTGCATGTGGGCCTGACCCACCTTTATTTTTCAGGTGCTCGTGAGTACCAGGCTTAGGGTTTGATCGTGGTGATGCAGATACAGTCACTCACTCTTCCGACTACATAGGATTTTCTTTCTTATTTTGGTTTTGGTTTTTAAATCTGTAAATGTTTTACCAGTTGGAATTATTAGGGGTCCACTAGATGGATTCCCGAGTTATACGGATTTGAAGGATTTAAATGTTATTAATTTATTATTTTTAAGTTGAGGTTTTTTTTATTTTAGAATTCTTTCAGCGTTTTGTTATTTTATTCTTAATTCAAATTTTATTCCTGCTTGTTTATATATTGATTGTCTGGTATCCTTCGAATCTGTGTCCGAACTTGATCACCCGTGGTTCTAGAATCGAGGGGTATCACAAGTCCCGAGTTTTCCTCTTGATTTTGAGTTTCAATCTACATATTTGTGATGTTTACATGCTATATCTAGGGTTACCCTGTTTGATTCCTTCCATTTTTGAAGTTTTGAAGCTTGTGTATATATATGTATATATATACATATATATATATATATATATATATATATATAGTTTTGTATATATTTCATTTTTGAATCGATTTTTGACGGTTATGGGCCAAACAAGTGACCCATATTGTGTTGTTGATGTGTGAGAGGGCCCTACAAGCTTACTTGGGTCACTACAACAGATCTGGCTTTTACCAGCGCTCAAAAGCGTAAAACCTGCATTGGTAGGGCTTTACCAGTGCTTTTTTAAAAGCGTTGGTAAATACCCTATGCTAGCACTTCTTCAAAAGCGTTGATAAATACCCTGTACTAGCGCTTATGAAGAAGCACTGGCATAGGATATTTACTAGCACTTTTTGAAAAAGCGCTGATACATGGGTCATTTTAATTTTTTTCAACTCTTCTCCAAAAAGCTCTGGTACTGGGGTCATTTTATTTTTTTTTTTAAAGTACTGGGGTCATTTTAATTATTTTTCTTTTCCCCGTGCTAGCGCTTTTTCAAAAAACGCTGATAGAGGGGTCATTTTAATTTTTGTTTTATTATTTTATTTTCCCTTATGCCAGCACTTTTCCAAAAAGCGCTGGTACTAGGGTCATTTTATTTTATTTATTTTATTTTTTTCCCCCTATGCCAGCGCTTTTTGAACAAGCGCTGGTAGGGCAACCATTTTTTTTTTTTTTTTTAACAGCTACTAAATGTCATCCAATATAACACAAATCAATATAAAAATACCATCCAAATTGTTTTTACATAATACAACCACAAGTTAACCTGCTGTCAATATGAAAAGTACAATCTAAATTGGCTACTAATAGATAAAGCTGGTAAATGTCAACCAAAAAGCCAAAATGTATACTAATACAACCACAAGTTAACCTGCCATTATGAAAACACCATCCAAATTGTCTAGATAAAGCTACTAAATGTCACACAAAAAGAATTAAGAATTTTTGACAAATGTAGTACAAGTTTTTCAAAAAGGACCCATCCAATGAGAAGGAAATTCAGAAAGCACAGCCACGACCCCATCTTCATCTTCTGCTTCAACTTCAACATCAACATCAACAAGCCTTCTTGCCCATTTAATTTGAATTACCCTACATTTTTTATAAATTCATTAAGCGCACATTATAATAAATGAAAATTTAACATATATATAAGAGAAATTAAAAGTTCATAACCTTAATTGAATTGGCATCACGACTAGAAAATGAATTTGGGGACACTCTAGGAGGAACATTTAAAGAATCAGAACCCTTCAAAATAACAAAACAAAATACATGAAATCTTGGCATAAGTAAATATATATTTAGTAAAGAGTAATATTAATAATAAATATACATATTCACTACAATTTTTTTGTTGCATCTGCATTAACATAGCCACCTGTTGTTGTAAATTTTCCAACTTATTGTCATAGTCGGCTTGAATTTTTGAAATCGTCTCCTGCAACTCTACACGTGCAGCACGTGCCTCCTCCTGAGATTTTTTGACATTATTAATCAGTTCAACTTTACTAAGAGAGGGCCCCCAAACATCGCTTGGTGTAGGCCCGAAGCCAAGCATCCGCACATGGCCAGTTCTCTCTTCTCCTCTCACAACGGAGAACAAATCATTGGAATTGCCAATAGGCGAGTCAGAGTAACTCTTTTTAAAGTTCTCTTATGTTTTCTTGCCAAAAAAAAAAAAAAAGTTTGAACTACCATGACATACTGCTATGAAACATCCAGAATAGAACAGGAAACAGGAATGCAGAAACAGTTGAACAGAAAAGTAATTAGATAACAACTTGGTAATGACGAAAGCCAAGTGTTCTGAAACAACAGTGCATCACACAATGTGAAAATATAGTTGTGACATCCTTTTGAACTTTCATACAATCTCTAAAGCTTCAAAATATGCTGAGATAGGATCCGTGTAACAACCCCTAAGAGATTTGTTTTTTTGTTTTTTCCTTTTTTTTTGGGTGGGGGTTGGGGTTTTATTAGGTGACATTTTTAATCCTCAGTTACTTAAACATTCATCTTTTCCGATGAAAATCAGGTGATAAAATGGCTTCCTTTAAAAGAAGGTTTTGTTTGGAAATTGGGATACCATGTTTGTAAAACTGCAGCAATATTAGAGTAATGTACTGTATTTTTAGCTTTTCCATTAGATGTAAATTTAGCTTTCAAAAAGTTTTTATTATCTACATTCTACCTAACTTTTGTTAATTACTCAATCTTGGACGTGTTTTAAAGGCTGCTTTCAATTAGATTGAGTACAGATCTAGCATTTGTCATAATTTGAACAAAATTGCTTCTTAAACTCAAATCCACATTTGAGTAATTTGAACTCTACCATTAAGGCTCCTCTAAAGTCACCAAATCTGTTTTTTATTTTTTTATTTCCTTTTCTCCTTATAAATTATATAATTACAAATGTTCTCATCTATGTTTAAACAAATCACAGATCTTGTTTTTATATCGTATTAAGAAAAAGAAAAATGTGGCATCAAGTTTTGGATTATGCAGAAAACAAAGATACAATTGTCAAGTTGGGTTACTGCTGACAAATTGTTCAGTGATCCAGAAAATGACTGTATTTCTTAGTCAGTTGTCTCAACAAAATTTTCAATGTAAAGCCAAAACTAATCCACCATATCCTCAAATTTTATGACTGGAAATAGGTATTTTATTGAGAGACTACATAAGCACCAATTATTTGAGCATGTAGTAGAATAATCTGAACATTCAGTTCTAGCTAAAATCTGAACTCTACCACTTTCTTTTATTTTCCCTATTTTAAAAATTCAGCTGCTAATTTTTCAGTTATGTTGCTCTATTGTTGCAATGATATTGTTCTGGTTGTACCGTTTATAGCATATCATGCTATGCTCTATAAATTTGAACACAGGTTGGAAAGTATTATTTAAAACCCTAGATTCTAAATAAAGCACAAAAGAACTGAAATCCCAACAAGCTATGAACATGTAATGCTTAAATGAAGTAAATAGAGAAAAGATGAATGTAGCTTCACAAACATCAATCCTTGCCCTTGGAGAGAGGGAGTCAGAGAGTCAGAGGAAAAGCAACTGCTAACTTGTATGTATGGGTTTTGTTTTAAATTTTTTTCTAAATCAATTAATCAGGCTCTGTAATTCTTGTTTTGCAGACTAAATCCTATTTGGTGAAATTTTTTATGATCTTTTTTATATAATTTTTTTTTTTACAATATAAAGCAACAAAATTTGCATTGCATTTTGAGGTAATCACCGCAATCTACTTTTTATTTCAGCAAAAAAATAAAATAAAAAAAAAAAATAATTTCTATAACTTCTATTCCTGTTTTATTATTATTATTATTATTATTATTATTTTTTGTTGTCCATTATATATGTCTACAAGAAAATTTGAATCTGGGCATGACAAAAAAAAAAAAAAAAAGAAATCTGAATTGGATTAGAAATCTACAGAGATTGAATCTGAAACAATTTTTATCAACATGCCAAGCTTTTTGAAGATGGAAATCTTTTCAGAACTGAAAAAAAAAATCACAAGAAGAACTTTGACAAGCAAAAGTAGTTAGTTGGTCAAAAGAAGAGATAGTCCTTAATCAATCAATTGTCTAAAGAAACATTGTTAATTAACTAAAATTGAATTAAACGAAAGTTGATTTTGGTTGATATATTTTGATTTAGCCCACCCCATTGAGAAATCCTAAATCCGCCCTTAGCTCTAGCTTTTACATGCTTCCATTTGTAAGTCTCTCTCTTGTTGATTACTCATTGCAGATTTGAGTTTCAAAGGAAGATGAACAGGGTGGAAATGGGTTTAGGGGAAAATCAGTGGGCACTTGGTGGAGGCAGTTCATCGACTTCACTCCAAAAAGAGTGTCATTATAATGTTTTGTTAATGTTTCTTCCTTATCCTACATCGACATTTGGTCCATTTGGACCACCATAGGGTACTTTATAGATCATGAACAAGTGTTTAGTGGCCTTTACATAGCTTTTATATAATATTTGAAGTTGTCTACATTCAAAAGACCATTGCCACAATATATGAGTAAAAAATTAACACAAACAACAAATAGCAAATACTTCTCCTCCACAACACAAATAAATCAACAAGAAGCCTCCACATACAATGATCCCATACTCCCATGCTTTTCAACAAATACAAGAAAGTAAATTGTATCCACACGGGCCGATGATTTAAAAATTGGTCACTTCAAGGCACGTGACCCCCTAATACAGCGTAAAGAGTTTAAAAATTGGTCACTTCAAGGCACGTAACCCCCCTTTTGCAAAATGGAAGCGTGAAAACTTACAATCATCTCCGAAGCAGCAGCATCAGTAGCTTTGCCATCCTTATTTACATGTGTGCTGATGAATAAATCTGCACGAGAAAGCTGAATACCTTCGTCTTCCTCAATCTATAAAAGAAACATAGACATTGTGATATATATTATTTACCACTAACATTTATAATCATTCAACGACAAAAGAATTGAAATAATTTATATTTTCCATAAAAACTTCAACTAACCTCGGCAGAAACACGTGCAAAGCTTTTTGTCCCTATAGTATGCATCATTGTCTGCTTCCCACGACATTCTTTATTTTTTTTTGCTGACCTCCTACGAAAAGTGAGAAAAAGTAAACACTCTTTGAGTAAAGAACATTCCACCTAAAATAATGACTGAAAGCAGGTAAACTATAAATTCAACTCATTGACTTCAAAAAACATTATGATAGATGGAGGATTACCTTCGCCATAGGCGTACCCCAATGCCTAACCAAAAATTTCCAATGCTCCTTTTCAACATCAGGTGGTGGGTTTGCCAATCTTTCTTCATCTGTATCCCTTACCGAGTAGTATTCATTTTTTAATTCACACTTGTACCCCCTCCATTTTTTTCCGATAGAGGATAATGTCCACTGTTTTGACATAATTCCCACATCATATTTTCCCTGAAAATGTGATAATTGCTGCATGTTAGTCCACTTTTTCCATAAAAATTATTTTAATGTTATTGAAGGGTTTTACCTTTACAATGTTCCACATATCCTCCTTCAACCGTTTAGGCATCTCCCACCAAGTTTTGTAGCAAAAAGGAGCTAATTTACCCTTCTGGGCAAGTGTTCCCAAATAATTAGTATATGTACCACTTCCAGGACCGATCGGTTATTCAAACTTATTAACCCTAAACAAAAATTAACAATTGTAGATGTTTCGTACAAAAATAAAGATAGAAATCCTTTTTTATCCTTCATATTGAATATAGTCTAATTATGTAAACTATATAAGATGATCTATATATACATGTACCTTAAAGGTAATAAGGTTGTCGCGTCTATTACATTCTTGCATCGTGTTGGGCCCCGTCTCTTCTTCGGCGGTGGTTGGGATGATTTTGAAGTTGAAGCTTCGGTATTTTGTTCACTCACTTTTTCCACTTCTCTAACCGTTCGTTTCATTGTCAGCTTATTATTTATCCTTCCTGGAAAAGCCTCCAAAAAAAGTGAGAATTCAGTTAAGAGAATGGAATCAAATTGTTAAAAAAAGTGGTCCAGGAAAAACCAATAAAGAGAAATAAAAGTATTTTCATATTAAAAAACAATTATCTAGCAAGTGCTGACCACATTTACAAGAAGAACTGAAAGCTACTAAGATTTACAACAGTAAAATGAAAAAAGCAAGAGACTATGAGCAAGGAATAAAGGAGGATAGTATACCTAAAAGAATTAATCTAAATAGCAGGGCCTAGGGAAGAAATCTATACGATCAGTCTTATTTTTCAGGTCATCATCAAGAGCCAAGTAGTTGCTTTTCTATTTCATTCAAAGACTTGTTGAAGGAAGGTTTGGCCGAGTAATATTTGCCATCACTTGTGATGCATTAAATTAAAACAAATAAATAGAGCCAATCCTGTTCTTAGTTTCATGCAATTCATGTTGATATATTTAATGGATTTATAAGGCTCTTTTACTCCTTGATAACGAACTCCTAGAATTTACAAATCCAAACACAGTCCAAATTCATGTAAATATTTTATCAGTTTATATTACCACATATGATCTACTACAAGAATAATATACAATTATGATATTTTATGCTTTTGCTTGCACAACCAACAGGCATTTCAGGAATGACACCATTTATGTCAATTTGGATGACATGTGTAATATGAAGTACGGTACCTTTATGGATTTCATCAATATATAGGATGGTTGAGGCTGTTGAGCACTTGTATAGAAAATATGATAAGCAACAAAAATCTATTTATCACAGCTTTTTAAAGTAGCATCATTATTCGTTACCTGATCTATAAAGGCTCTCAACCAAATGCTGAACAGAATAATTTTGATCAAGACAACACCCATCCTGGCCTTGCTTTTGGTGTCAAAAGCTGAGACAATATATGAACAAAAAAAATTCAGTAACAAAAGTACCGTGGGTAGGATCGCTGAAAGATGCAGAGAAAACTAATAATAATAGCATAGTTGTCTTAATATAGCATCCAAAAACTTTTCTTCTTTTAATGTTATTATGCTTTTAACTTTTAAACGGGTGGTGCATGAGTGTGTATGAAAGCAAATAAAGTACAACTCACGGGCCACAAGCAATATCTAATAGCAAACATAACACTAAACAGAGATCGAGACTAAACCTTTTTTTCCTAAGATCACAGAAAAAAATTTAAAATAAAAAATCATTAAAGCCTGGACGTTTGAAAGATTAGGCACACAACACTACATAATGAACCTGGGTTTCATAGCTTTAAATTATAAGGACTCAACATCAGCAACGAATGAAGACCTCATCGGCTTAAATTAAATATCCTTCTTTTTATAAGTACCATTGTATTAGAAAGCATTCAAAAGTTTGAACGCATCCCCCAAAAGCAACAAGGACTAACTAGGACCCTCAGCCTCACAAAATGTCTCGGCTTAAATTCAATATCAACAGCACAGTCTGCACAGCATAAATCCAAGTATAGAGTATCAACTTTACCACTTAGCACTCAATTAATTTATTATTTCAGAAATAAAAAATTGTGGTAATTTTAATAGGATAAATCAGGCATCTTGATCGCATTAAAAAAGATGAAGCTTTCCACTCCACTTCTTGAATTACAAGATTGTTTAAACACCTCAAAACTAGAATTCAAGATCATTATTAGATCCACATACAAAAATAAAGAATGCACATGCCAAAATCGTAACCATCACAGAATACAATCAAGAAGCATAAGCAGCACTCTCTCCAGGAAACACCAACAATAATAGAGATGGGGGGGGGGGGGGGGGCCAGAAAGAGTAGGATAATTAAAAGTGATATCCTCTGCTTGTCCACTATCGCATTGCCCATTTCTCAATAAATTTAAAAACAAAAATGGTAAAAGAAAAGAAACAAAAAAAACTTAGGGAACAAAACATTGTCACTGACACCCAAATATATGCATGCTCTTGAACACTTGAAACTGTTATGTAATACAATAGAAGTGTTGCAGACCCACAACTAGATGGTTCTTTAAATGGATATTGTCTGGTTGAAAATCAATGGAATAAGATGACTCTAAAACATTAGGTCATCAGAACTTGCCAGCAACTATTTTCAAAACTCCCTCTTTTTCACTTAGGAACTTGAAAATTTATCATAACCAATCAAATAATCTAGCATCAGCCAATCATCCTACCATTTTATCATGGTCTAACATCATTGCAAAAAAGGAACAAAGAAGAAGAAAGCCAGCAGAATTTTTAAGTTAAAGTGGCATGGAAAACACATGCTGTGGAGAATCATATCTCAATTGACTCTTGGAGTAAAGTACTCCGAAAAATTTGAAGTATATTTTAAAATTTCCCTTTTCCAAAAAATTACATGTCACAAGCGTGTCTAAACATGTTACTTCAGGCATGGTATTTGCATTTCTTATTCTTAATGGAAACCAAACACTTGTTTTATCCAACATTCACATCTTGTTCTGGTTCTTAAGTACAGTTTCTGCATTTAAAAAAATATAATTAAATTTAAAATTTTTGCTATTTTTTATAAGTAATTATTTTGCTAAAATTAAAAAATAATAATAATATGGCAAAAACCTAAAATAATCGTCTTCAGCCTAAACTACCATTAAAACAAAAACATCAATGAAGTAGATTAAAGTTAAATAACTTACTTTACTAATTGATTCTTGGACACATAATTTACTCAGACATGGAGACATTGCATTACAGAATTTCAAAATAGCATAGAGCTTGTTGGTAAAATTCTCTTAAAACCTGGAGATTTCCAGGAACTCTTAAAACATAAAACAGTTTCAAAATACTACAAAAGATTATTCTCTTACAATGTGCATTTTTTTATTAAGTTTTCAGACATAATACATCACTATGCTATCAAAACTATAATTCATACTTATTATTGAAGGTACAATAAACAGAGCATGATAATTGTAATTGTTAGTCTGAGAAGCCTGGAGTTTGGAGTAGCGATAGCTCATGCGAAAAACAACTGCCCATGAGAGAACTACAATTTTCACTCAGCCATCCTTACATGGGCAATAAGATAAAAAACATCAATATGAACTATATAAAACAGGGTTATTCACGTTTTTACTTTGATATTTTAGCTCCAAAAACACAAACACACGTAAAGTCACGGCCCATTTTTGAAGGCCCAAAATTAAAACATCAATCAAGGGCTTCAGCTGAGAAATGGAGATCGAACAGTGAGAGATCGAGACAGGGTAGAGGAGTCTTACAGCTGAGATGGAGATCAAGCTGTGAGAGATTGAGATAAAGTAGTGAGAGATCGACATAGAGCGGGTTAGCAAACATCAATCAAGGGCTTCAGCTGAGAAATGGAGATCGAGCAGTAGAGATTGAGACATAGTTATGACAAGAACAATGAAACTTTTGAAGTACCCACTGTAAGGTTGGGCCAAAACCTTAAACCTTCCACAAAGTTGCTTTAAATCAAGAAAAAGAAATAGAGAATATTGATGCTTCATTCATATTTTACACACACTTAAACCTTAGTGCTAAAAATGCAAATGCAATTAATCACGTATATGACATGAACTTTTTTTTCTTTCAAATTCAGCGAGAGAAGATCCTTTTGCTTTCATTTACCCAAAAAAAAAAAAATGGTACACATAAGATAGAAGATAGACCAAACAGAAAGGGGAAAACCTAATCAATTGATTTTTAGGTGAAGTTTAGACCCATTTGTAAACTAAAATCAGAAAAAATAATTGAAAATAAATAAATCAATAAAGTAATCTGAATCCAAGTACAGACAGAAATCTCATAACCCAGAAAAGGAAAATCAAGAAAATGAAATCACAGACAATAGAAGACAGTCACAGAGTTACCTCAACGCACATATAAGCGCAGTGGCGGCAAAGAAACGTAATAAGGGTTGGAACTCCAGAGAGAGATGGTTATGAAATCAAAAGGCAAAATATTTTTCAGAGAGGGGAGTCTTGCAGGTGAGCGATTGAGATAGAGCAGAGCGATTGAGATAGAGCAGAGAGGAGAGACGGATGAAGTCGCTAGGGCAAAATGAAATTGAAATAGGGAAAGTGGAATGTTGTAGTGTTAATGGACCCAAAAAAACAAAAAAAAAAAAATGACGCAGTTTATTCTATATATATAAATAAGCGGAGGAAAAAAAGAAACTGCACTAAATATTCTATATATATAAATAAGCGGGGGAAAAAAAGTGGAGGGAAGGGAAAAAAGTGGAGGGAATGGAAGAGCCCTGTACCAACGTTATTATTTAAGCCGGTACAATTACACTTATACCAGCGCTTTTTTTTAAGCGTTGGTACTGTAACACCTATACCAGCGCTTTTGTAAGAGCGTTGGTATTAAAGCAACTTTGTTTAATGTACCAGGTTTTAGTGTGTGTAAAATAAAGTAACTTTGAAGTGTGGGATACAAATCTGTGAAGCTCGATCAATCACAAAAATGTGAGTGGGTGCCCTTGTGCCTTCCACGCCACAAATCTGTGACTTTTCTAAAGAGCGCTGGTAAAAGTTTAATATGTTGTAGTGGGTGCCCTTGTGCCTTCCACGTCACAGATCTGTGACTTTTCGAATTGCCCCTAGCAGTTCGATCGATCGAAGTTTTATCAGATCGATCATTCAAAGATCGATCGAACTTATCTCACAGAGATCGATCTCACATTTTTGTGATCGATCGAGCTTCACAGATTTGCATCCCACACTTCACACACTCTCTTTTGTGATTCTATTCTATCTCATACATGCCCAATGCCTGTGTTTCCCACATTGGATGCATTCTATACTTATATTGTTTAGCATGCTTCACTTACTGTCACTGTTTATTTAGCCCTATCATCACTTGCGTAGATTTATGTCTTGTGTTGTCTATCTTATTTGACATACATGTTTTTATATACTGTGTTTCAATTCTTAATGCCAATACTAACTTATATTGCAAGTGATTTTGTTTCTGTTTTGCAGGCCATGGCTAGGGTCAAAACTGTTGCCCATGGACATTATCATCGCTGAGTCAGGCCCAGGTGAGCCCTCTCATGTTCGAGAGTAGCCCGAGAATCAGGCAGGACCATCTCAGGTCCCGGATCCTGAGCAGCCTGAGCAGCTGGAGGATTATACAGAGGCCGATCCATCTCAGTCCCCATCGGCCGATTCTAGACTATAGTCTTCTGCTTCTGCATCTTCATCATCTCATGATGAGGCTGAGCATACACCATCACCTTTTTCATCTCTGCCACATGCACAGCCAGACCAAGCCTCAGACAGACCTCTGCCGAGATACTCACGCCTTGCAGTGGCGCATGAGTCAGTTTTCGACATTTCCTTCTTCTCCCAGTATATCCTGACCCAGGCAGCCTACGAAGACATTGACCGCAAGGGCATTTAAGCCATTCTAGCCCCTGTCGCATACACAGTTTACCCGAGGCTTGTTTGGATGTTCTTCCAGAACCTCTGACCTGCCCCGAGTAATCTGGCGGAGCTGCGCACTATCGTGGTTGGCTATCCTATCCGCATCATAGTGGAGACTCTGGCCAGATCTTGCCGATGCCCGCATACCTGCCCTCCTGAGCTTGAGCTCGATTATCCCATCTTGGAAATGAGGCCTTCTTATGCATTTATGGCTGAGACATTTACAGGCCACTATAGTGAGGGTGACACATTTGCTACTCGGACCTATCTGCCCGATAACCTGTGGTTCTTTGATTCGGTCCTGTACCGAAACGTGTTCATGGCCGACCACAAGATCCAGAGGCGCGACGATTATTTGACTGCCTTGTATGCTTTCTACACAGGGTGCTGGGTTTCTATTCCAGCCTTATACTGGACCGTGATGATGAAGCTCTACACAGACTACATCAGCAAGGCCAAGCCCAAGCGGGCTAAGTATCTTCCATTTGGCCATCTTATCACTCAGATCCTCCGAGATCAGTGCTACCCATTCGGTCCCGATGAGTGCTCAGAGACAGGAGCTTGCCATTTTGGTAAGAAGGACTGGAATAAGAGCTACTATGCTCTTATCAAGAGTCTTCTGGAGGACACAATGATAGCAGTAGAGAAGGCTGAGGAGGAGGAGATAGCAGCAGCAGCAGCAGAAGCAGCGGACGACCAGCAATTGATCTGGCTGCCATACATATGGACATAGACTTGGAGCAGGAGCCTCCAGCAGAGGAGATCTCACATCACTCTCCAGCGGGGTCACCATTACATTTCCCGGAGCAGGCTCAAGACGCACATCATTTTCCTAATCCAGTCATACCTGAGGCTCCAGCACAGACACCCGGCTTTGGAGAGTGTATCCAGGCCTTGGAGGACGCAGTTGTCTCTCTTCGGTCAGATGTGGCATCTCTCCGCTCTGATATCTTAGCTGTGCTACAGGGCATATCCAGAGATATCAGGGGATCACGCCCCACTCGCCCTACTTCATCTGCTTGATCTATATTCCTCTCTTTTATCATGTTATATATCTCCGATACATTCTTGCTATTTTGATACTATTATATTATTTTTACGGCCAGTCTGTTGGCCCAGACATTGTGATGTACATTATTTTTATTTTTCTATACATGCTATAGTTTGGATGTCATATCCTTGTAGTGATATATCTATATTTGATTGACTCCATCAGGTGCATCCCAGTGACTTCAGTGAGAGAGAATGCTGCCCAAATTTTTAGGACCATTTTTTTACTCTCTCTTTACTTCAATTCTTGTCCCATTTACACTTACATGTCCACTATGCACTGATATTATTCCCCTTTGTTATCTAATGAGCTTTTATCCAATGCCATCTTTTCAGGATTACAGTGAATCCCAAGTTTGGGAAGGTTATACCACCCACTTTGGATACTTGTGTCTTGGCCATGCTTTGCTATAGCTACACTGGTATACTCTTTCCTTTGTTCTCTTTGCACATTGAGGACATTGTGCCATTTAAGTTTGGGGGGATAATGGTGTTAATTGCAGTATTTGCTTCCAATTTAAAATTTTAAGCATGACTTGTGTATTTGAGGGATTGTCTATAATTGGTCCATAACTAGCTATGACTTTGATCTTCTGAGGACTATATTGCTTAAAATTTAAAAATTACTCGACTTGATAGTCCAATACTCCTTATATGCCTTGTGGATGCCATTTAGGAGTAAATTTTTCGAAAGATTGATATCTTGCTTGCACTTGTGGTTCATATCATCTTTATTTTGTGATTGTTTTGAGATTCATTTTAGGATTCTACACTAGCACAGGTGCACACAAGCATTCATTTGTGGGGTACATGCTTTGTTGATTATTGAATTGGTTATATCCCAATTGGGCTAGTAGTAAGCTTTCATCTTGATAAAAGTGGATAACAAACCATTTTCATTGAGTAGCCGAGATTCTAGTCTCATCAAGCACTGAATTTCTCGCGCCAAAAGGTGGAGGGCCCAAACTCTAGGTTAATAATTGAATGCTAAAAAAAAATAAAAAAGAAAAAAAAAAAAGAAAAAAAAAAAAGAATAAGTTGCAAAAGTAATAAAAAAGTGAGGACTTCTCCCAAAAGGTGAGAAGTGGGAAATGATTAGATGGAGGTTGTTTTGATTTGTAGCCTAGTTGATTTGAGCTTGTAAGTCCTTAGGGGTATTTCAACACCTAGTGCCCTAAAACCGTCCGATTTGGGAGTCATTGACCTAACGCTCGACCTCATGGATCGCTAGAAAACTTAATAGATCATTACTTTGCACCATGCTTCCATCTTTGATCCTTAAGATAAAAAAAAAAAAAAAAAAAATTGAGTGAAAAGAATAAGCGTACCTAGAAAAATAAAACTTTAATAAAAGGTCCACTCTTTGTCTTGATAATCGAGACTAGATTTGTATGTTAGTTTGAGGGTAAGAATGTAATCATTTCTTTAGTTGGCTTAGATAGCAACATATTTGATACCGGTCCATTTAAAAAGGATTTTAGAGTTGTTTTAATTTGCATGATCATTTTCTTGATGTGTGAAGGACCATACTTGCTTGCTTGATGTTGAAATTTTGGGAGATTGCTTAGAAAGGGTTGAAAAATAGCATACTTGAGGTAGTTTTCTCCCAATGCTTGTTTGCAATATTGGTGCCTCTTTAGTGAGAATTAGCTTAATGTTTGTAGGTATCATTTCTGGAAACCCTCACGAGACTTCACTCGTCCACTAGAGGTAACCTAGGGGTTTAAAAGGCTGGTTGCATATGCTAAATGCAATCGTGTTCCCTACGAAAGTGGCGTTATCCATTTATTGCTTTCTTATTCATAATTATATAGTTGTTCATTTCATTCATTTACTTTATAGTTCATTGCTAGGGACTAGCAATATTTAAGTTTGGGGGTGTGATGAGCGCTGAAAAGTACGCATTTAAACCCCTTAAGCTTAGGTATTTTAGGACTTTTATGTATCTTACTTTCCCATTTTAGACTAATTTCGTGTTATTACCATTTTTAGGTGCTTATCCCCAAAATAAGCTAATTCAACCAAATAAGAGCTTAAAAGAAGCTAACTCAAGCTGGATGGAAGAAAGGAGCGAAGTGGAAGCAGATTGAAGCAAAGTGTGGAAATCAGCATGTTTGATCGATCGAAAGTTCATCGGTCTAGACTCTCCAAGATGGATCCAAGCCCTGTTGTCCTTATCCGAAGATTCCATAAAGTTCGATCGATACAACAATTCTCAGATCGATCGAAAAGATTCCATCTTATCCTGTTGTACCACCCTATCTACCACTTTTGTCTCTTTCCCTAAAATATCTCAGATTTGTCCTTATCTAAAAAGGCGCCGCCATGGGAGGATCGATCCAGCCAAAGTTTGATAGATCTCAGCCATGTTCGATCGATCTCAACACAGTTCGATCGATTGAACTTCCTCAAGTCCGAAAAAAATATATTTCCAGCTCAATAAAAGTTTTCTCATTGTGCAATCATTGGAGGAGCCCTTGTGTACGAGCCTAGATCATTGGGTGTGACATTTGAGCTACTTATATAAGGAATATGAGCCACTTTTACATATAGTCTTGGATAGTCTTTGATATATTTTTTGGAGTAGAGATATACAATTCTTAGAGGGGAAGAAAAGAAAATAGGAGTTTAG